TGATTTATTATATAGGCAATTTGAATGAACTGGTTAAACATGGTCTGCGTGCCTTACGAGAGACACTTCCTGCAGAACAGGACCTAACTACAAAGGTAGATATCATATTTTTCAATTTCAGATTTTAACATTACAGGTCAATCATTTATTTCATAAATATAACAGAGGAGTATATACTTAACAGTTCTTTAATTTGGGAGATGGTTGCCTTGGTTCGTTCTTTCTCTTTAAGCTATTCACTAAATGATCTGATTTTGAAATAATTTTCAAACATTTCTTTTTGGAATAAAGCAATAAAACCAATAAGTCTTAGGTGCAGTGTCCTTCAGTTTCTTCAGCAGGTAGGAATATCTTCATATTATTAACTCAGTTAACAAATATATAATATTGAGCACCTACCATGTGTAGGCACTAGACATTGAGAATATAATAAACATGGCAAACATCTTGGCCTTCATGGAACATACATCCAAATCGGGGAGATAGACAATATACCCATAAGTGAATTATATAATATTATTAGAAAATGATAAATACTATAGAAAACATAGGTTAAGAGGAGAAAGGAGGACCATCTGGGTATAGGAAGGGGGTTTGGTGAGGGAAATTTAAAATAGGGTGGTCAAGGATGGCGTCACTAAGAAAGTGAAATTTGAGGGAAGTATCTAAAGGAGGTGAGTGAGTGAGTGATTCAGATGTCTGGAGGAAGATCATTCCAGGAATACAAGTATAAGGGCCTTGAGTCCAGAATATTAATTGAGGCAAGAAGGCCAGGAGTGTTAGAGGCAATGATCAAGAGGAAGAGAAGGAATAAAGTCAGATAATGGAGACCAGATCATGTATAAACCATTGCAGGTACTTTGGATTTACTGAGTGGATTGTTAGAGTTTGAACAGAAGAATACTTGATTTGATTTAGGTTTCAAAAGAGTTATTCTGGTCACCATTCTGAAAATAGATTGTAGTGGGCAACATGCGTGAAAATAGTTTTAAAACTTATGGTAATACAGATGAGAAATTGTGGTGAAGTAAAGGAGCTTGGAGTTGGAGATGGGAATAAGTGGTTCGGTTTTGGGTATGTTTTAAAATTAGAGCTAAAAATATTTGCTAGTGAATTGGTTGTGAGGGTGTAAAAACAACAAAAAAAGTTGTTTTCAAGATTTTGGGCTTGATTAGAGGAAGGAGAAATTTATGGTTTACTGAGCTGGATAAGACAGTGGAAGGAACATGTCTTGGGGTAGGAGTTGTGGAGAAAGATCAGGCAGTTAGCTTAGGACTTACAAAACTTGAAATGCCTACTGTCTATTGGTGATATAGAATAAGTAGATATTGGGGCATCTGGCTGGCTCAGTCAGTAGAGCATGCGGCTCTTGATCTTGGGATCATGAGTTCAAGCCCCATGTTGGGCGTAAAACTTACTTAAAAAAAAAAAAATGTAAACAGCCATCAGATGTGTATGCCCTGGAGTTTGGTAGAGAATGGTCTAGCTAGACTTAACAAATGTTGGAGTCTTTATGTAGAAATGGCACTTAGAGATTGGACTGGATGAAACCACTAAAGGAATCGAATAGTTTCACAAGAAGTTTGAGGCCTGGGCAAGGGGCACTCTAACCTTTAGAGATTGGAAGGTGAGTATCAGCAAAAAGGGACTTAGAAAGATGACCACGGAGGTAGGAGGAAAACTTGGAAAGTGAGACATTCTTGAAAACAAATGAAGAAAGTATTTCAAGGAGGAGGGAATGAATAATTGCTAATAGATCAAGGAAGATGTGGAATGAGAATTAACCATTAGATTAGCAATGATGGGGACTTGACTAGACAATTTCATTGGAATGGTGAGCCCAAAGCCTGAAAGGAATGGAATCAGGAGAGAATGGGAGAAGAGGAATTGGAGGCAGCTTTATGGAGATTTTCTCCTGCAGGTTCAGAGAAATGGGGTGCTGGCTGGAAGAGAATGTAGTGAGGGTTTTTTGTTGTTTTGGTTTTTTAAGATGGGAGAAATTACAGCACGTCTGTTGCATGGTTTTAAGAATAATCCAGTGTAAAGGAAAACATTTATATAGGATAAATATGAGAAAAGCTGCTGGACCAATGTCCTTAAACAGTACACAGGTGGAAAGGTAGACCTTAGAGAGGAAATTGGATCATTCATTCACACTAACAAGAAGGGAGAGAATCTACGGACATAGATACAGGAAACAGTAGTTACTATGGGAGCTTGTGAACATTCTCTTCTAATTGCTTCTGTTTTCTCAGTGAAATAAGGAGCAAGAAGAATGGAAAATGCTAGAAAGATGTCCAGGAGAAGAGATTGGATGATCTAGGGACCTGTATAGTACAATGCAGGAACCACTATGGGCCTCCTTGTGGTTAATGATCATTAACTAAAGTGAGATCAGTCAGCATTTTGTAAATCCATTTTATTATAGGATTGGATAATTGTTATTTAATATGTATGTGAAGAATTTACAGTCTGTGTAATCTTTTAAAAATAGTTTTTCCTATCCTAAAAATAATTTTTTTTTTCCAACAAAATCAGGAATGTACATTATTTTTATTTAAAGTACCCATAGGGGCGCCTGGGTGGCTCCGTCAGTCAAGCATCTGACTCTTGATTTTGGCTCAGGTCATGATGAGATCGAGCCCGCATCAGGCTCCATGCTGAGTGTGGAACCTGCTTAAGATTCTCTCTCTCCTTTCTCCCTCCCCGCCCCCCCAAAATAAATAAAGTACCCATAATGCCATCACTCCAAGATGACTGTCTTTTAAATTTTGGATTTACAGTTACCTGTTGACATTTACAATTTGGAAGAGTTTGCTCAGCTGTTTGGCTTTCTGATTTCATATTTTTACTGAATCATGGAGAATGATTTAGTGAAATCATTGAGAGAAGGCCTGTATATTCTTTTTTTTTTTTTTAAAGATTTT